ACTTTTCAAAATTAAAAAATGTATTTTTTATAAATAAAAAATTCTTTTTGTTTTTATCGAGTATATTATCTTTATTCAAGTATACATTTCCTCAAATATAACAAATCGTTTTTAAAAAATATTTTTTTTAAATAAACTATTTATTAATTATGTAATTTAAAAAATTAAATTTCAACAAATATTTACTAAAACATTAATATTTACTAAAACATTTTCTTAAAATTAAAAAATCCGGATTTAATATTTTAAAAATTCGTTTATTATATTTCAATAAATATTGTACTGTAATGTATTAAAATGATTTAGATTCAAGTAAATTTTTCAACAAGAGGTCATTTTTTCATTTTAATGCTATGGTTTACTATAATTAAGAAAAAAATTTTACTTTTATTTATTATATACTATTTATTTAAATGAAGTAAATTTAATTTTAGTAAATATATTTATTAAAATTAAGAAAATTTTTTTCTCAGTGCATAAATCTCTTCATTTTCAATCGCCAATCTTTTATTGAATTTTCATGAAAAATTTCGTAGTTTAGCTTATAGCATTTACGCATTTACAGATGATGAAGAGAACATTATCGAAAACGAACACGTCCATGTATCTTTGCTATTTTCTCCGCGTGGATTCGATTCAAGAGGAGTCCAGCTTCTCATTTCAACTAGCCTTATTTTCTCATATCTCAAACGATTCATAATCTCGATCTTTCTCGAGTCGTCTTTTGCGCGTGCGCGCTTCTTGACAGTCATTTCTTTGATCGCCGTCCCGAGAGCCGCCGCATCGCGCCGACCCTGTACTCAATAGTCAAATGGTCTATAACGGTATTTAAATTATACGGTATATCCTCGTCCATTTTAAAGCTTGCAATTTGATAATGATAAATGGAGGTTGTATATAGAAAAATATATTTTCGTCTGTTTTTGCACGTGCTATAATCGTGCTTTCTCGATTGTAGTGATTAATTGAACATCGATTCAGATTTGCGTAAAATCAAAGATTACTCACAAAAATCACAAGTCCGCATCTGCGTAAATTTTATTCAATTCGACGAAATCATTCCTCTCGAATAATGGTACACGATAAGTATACGAGTTGACAAGATTCAATCGCTTCTAATGGAATATCTTTTCGAGCTTTTGCATCATATAGGTATTGATCATATTAAACTGACGAAATTGTAATTTGCTCAATGATCCCGCGCAAATTCTCAAATTACCTATTCTATAATATTTTGTATATACTTATTACTTTCACGTCCCGACACAAATCTCTTCTATGCTTTCGTCCGATTGCTGGAATCATTTCTCTAAAATTTATATTATGCTTTCAAACCAAACGTTCATACAAAACTCATCGATTCAAAAACGATAAGAACAAACCGCAAATAAATGTGATATAGCTAATACAGCCGAGAGCTTTTGCAACTTTGCAAATAGAAAGATCACAACAACGTGTGATCGTGGTCCGACAACGTTGGTGTGTCGGAAGTTTACGAAACACTTATCAATTATCGTGCATTGATAAAAGAGATACGTTCACATTACGATTGTATTTGGATGCGTACCAACATTTCTTATCTGTAATACAGGTACACATACTATTCATTCTTTTCGACTTTATTTATCGGATTAGTGATATAACGACCGTATCGCGCTTGAGTTTTAAACGATGATTTTATCTGCAAAATTTAGACACAATTATTTCTTCTCACTCAGAAATTCCCAATAACGAATTACATATGCTACTAAATATAGCAATAAGAGAGAAATTGTTGTTGATGAATTGATTATTCTGATATAGAGGATGGTTTCGGCCAGACTTTAAGATTTTATAGGAAATTTGATTCTAAACAATAAGTTTCCTCTAAACATGAGTTGAAAAACGCTTCCTTAAAAAGTTAATGCTCAAAAACTTCTGAAATTACGGTTGCTTTATACATTTTTGCAAATATCAAAGAGAATATGCGTTTTTTAACAAAACGTAATAGAAACAAAAGTTGTAGACAATTAAATTATCCTTCAAATGAGAGCAAAAAATCGTAATGTGTTCCAGCTTTTAAGATAACTAGTTTCAAATGTACAGAAAAGTATTTCTTCGGCTATCGATTCGAATAAAAAAACTGTTCTGCATTGTTTAAACCTATTATCATGAGGAGAATGAAAGGAAAAGTAGAAGATGAAAAGAAAATGAAGTGAAAATAAAAATAAAATTTAATAAATTTGTTGAAAAAGTCACATACCGCGTACGTATATGTTCCCTTTGAAACTAATTATCTTAAAAGCTATGAAACGTATTACAATCATTTTGCTAGTAGATAGATAGATAAACAGATAGATACAGAGATTAATTGAGAGAGAGAGAGAGAGAGAGAGAGAGAGAGAGAGAGAGAGAGAGAGAGAGAGAGAGAGAGAGAGAGAGAGAGAGAGAGAGAGAGAGAGAGAGAGAGAGAGAGAGAGAGAGAGAGAGAGAGAGAGAGAGAGAGAGAGAGAGAGAGAG